ACTAACGATATCTCACAATAATGGCAGGTATGCTTCATGGTCGTACCCAGACCGTACAGGTAATCGTTGATATCTGGACATCTGGTATTGAACTTCTAAGCAATCTTGCTAGATATACAGTCGATGACTGAATTAAAGATTTAATAAACTATTGAAAACAGATTTTTTGTCTTCTCTTATATATTACTGCTAGCGGAAACTGCAGTGTCGACCCACGCACTGACTTTTCATTCATTCGGTGACTGTGAGTTGGTCTGCAAACTACTTTTCAAGCTACGATATGAAAGTTTTGACAGTCGAAGATCACCAGCCTTCTGGCGACGATGACATACGAACAGAGCGGTATGTAGTTAAAGCGGGACACGTCCAGTGTATTGATAATTTCGTTAAGCGTTTCAACACATTTGAGGAAATCAAATAACTGAGGATATCACTCACCGTTAATGATACACCAAGTTTCGATGAAAATGACAAGGGGTATGCTCTACTCAGCAAGATCGGCACGCGGAACGGGAAGTTTTGATGTAGCTGCCTTGGCGCAGACCACTAGTTGGTCCAGCAATCGGTAGGCTTTTTCTCCTCTGAACTGGACAGAGGTCAACGCATCAATTTTTTGATTCAGTCCATTGTGCCATGCATCAATGGATAGCCCTTGGTGAGTGTCGTTGTCAAGCGATGAATATCAGTGATTTTCATTTTATGACTCCGCACTGATTGAACGAGGTTGCCAAGTCAGCACGTAGTTATTTGATCATGAATCAGAATTAAATACTAATTGCAGGTGGTTGTCTGTATCAATTACTTAATTTAATCTGCCACATGATGCATTAGTTCGAAAGCTCTTAGTACGCAGAATGTTAAACATTCGTCATCTCAATTTCAAAGTCCACATCTTCGTCTGATGATTTCACTATCACTACTATGCAAGCTCATTACATCAGCATGACTCATCGTTAACATTAACAGTCGTGACCTTGAATGTATGGAACTTTCAAAAGTCTATCCCTGTTACCAATGTGACTA